GTTCAGATCTGGTTCAGTTTATGGTTCAAGATTGATCCTTGAAAATATGATTTTCTAAATAGGGAATACGATTCCCAGTTGAAGGGAGAGATAAAATTTTTGAAATTCGCCCCTTATTCCGCAATCTTTGGGCGTCCATAGGATGGATCTATCATCCCTTCAACTATCCCTAGGCATAATGATACTAACAACAGAATATCCCATACCAAGTTAGAGATGCAAGAAAAACGGATAAACCATCAATGTAGACCTACGAGGGTTAAAAGCATCATTCACCATCATAAAAGCAGAAGGAATCTTTTTAGTTCATTTGTTTTTCAAATTTCCCTATGGACCTAACAACCCTATATAGGGCAACTTAACTCTACAAATGATATTTTAGCTCTAGAGGTATCTCCTGGAAGTAAAATTTGGGCATCTATGCCTGTCTAACCCCTAAATGGAAACTCTTGAGATTTTATAAGAAATATAACCTAAGCTCAAAATCAATGTCTTAATGCTATGTGTTTCCTCTGTAGCCATCCCACATCAGAAAGATAAAACTGATTCATAAGGATAATTATCTCTAGTGGAATGGCTACAGTTGCATAAAATGCTTCAAATATACTCCATGTATAGAATAACAATAAGGATAATGTCATATTTATGCAAGTTAAACTTATACGACTTTACCTCTGGAAATCACTCCAGTCCTGCACAAGCAACTTTGGATTCTAGCCAAAACAGTCAGAGTGCGTTGGTAGCTACTTTGCTTTGCCTGAAAGGAGTTAAAATCTTTCTGTTAGTTTCAAAATTTGATGACATGATTAAATGGAGAGGTAAGTCTTTGGTACCATGAGCAATCTGCCTGGCAGGGAAAAATACACAACATAAACAGAACAGTGTAGAATGCAGCATGTTATACAAGTGACTCCCACTCAAGATGAACCATAAATTCAGAGTGTTTTTCTTGCACCAAAGAGAATAAAAAAAAAAAGAGGCCAAAGTTCCACCCATAAAATATTGCAAATATCTAATATGAATACCCACTCACCCACCCCCTTTTTTTATGGGAAACTGTAATTTTTATTAGATAAAAGAAACAAAGAATGGTTTATTAGAAGCATGCCCATTTTTAGGCTCACTTTTGCACCTATACCAAACTTTTCAAGTTTCATTTCAAGTCCCAGCAGTCCCAAAAATAGGTCATCCCTATTTACCCTTTGTTTGGATAGTTCATACACCCTGCCATACTGTGCCCACCTCAAACAGCCTACAATTAGGAATCAAATTCTCATCTATCAAAGAACCAAAATGAACTCCAGATTAAATACCACACAAAGGCACATTTTGAATTTTGAATTTTGAATTTTCTTCCAACAGAACACCTGGAACCAGTACATCTATTTGATAACCATCTTATAGGTTAAATAACCTCAAAGCTAGATGTCAAACAACCCTGATTGCCTCCACATTACTGGTAGCCACTACCTTATTGCCACATGCTCTCCTTTCCTAGCATCTAGTCTCTGCCAACAACCAACCCATCCTAAATGAAAATCAAAGCGAGCTCCTTCCTCGACCTTACACTTGTCCTCTTGGCTATAGTGTCAATAAACTCCTTATCACCCAGATCATGCACAAGACTCCATCCAAACAACGTTCAAAATTTCGCAATGTATCGGCTGATACAAGTTGATACATGTCATTCTGATAAAGGCCCAATACACGAAATGTATACAAAGCAGCCGTTCTGTTTTCTGTTCATCTGTATCGGGCCGATACGGACATGATATGAGTCAATACTCTAATGTATCAGCTGATACATTACCAATTAATGATTCCCCGTTCTTTTATTGCTAATATTTCTAATTAATTACTCTCCCTCTCATTAATTACTTTAATTACTCCCTTTCTCTCATTAATCTTTCTTTTATTGCTAATCCTTCTAATTAATTACTCTCCCTCTCTCTCATTAATTACTTTAGTTACTCTCTCTCTAATCTTTTAAGGCAAGTTTTGAATTTGAATTTCAAATTTGTCACACCATTCTAATGCCTAATACACATAATTTTGGGTGTAAAAACTAAAGTAGGCTATAAGAAGGTTTGAACCTTGGTCACTAGCTTGTAATGACCATGAGTCTGCCACTACGCCCAAATTAATTTTGTTGTTTAAATTTTATTCATTTTAATCCTTAAATAAACTTTTTCATTTTAGTGGATGTTTGTAGGGGTGATTATGGGTTGGGTCAGGCCTAAGTCTTTTATATATAAAATATTACATATATAATATTTTATATTAAATGGCATATAATATGCATATAAAAATTTTTTGATACATTGTAAAGTATAAAATATTATATATAATATACACATATATTATAAGTGCCATATTATAATAATTATATATAATATAAGTATATAACATAAAATAACAAATACACAGTGATTGGCTCCTCACCACCACACAAACCATATAAACCTCACCATGGACGACCAGATCCAGGAATCTGAAAATAGCCATTGTAGACCTCCCCGGATCAAAATCTGAAATGATATCCGGTAGTTATTACCTTCATCCACTTTAGTAAAGACACCCAAAGCATCCCCCATCTCCTTGAATGTCACCAAGCACCAGACATGCAAGGGAATACTACACTTGCAAAGAAAAGCTTGCAAAGAAAAGTTTCCCTTTCAACTATCCATTCGTTTTCCATTATCACTCTGTTAAAACACCCACCACCTGAACTAACACAGCCCCTTGGTTCTTCTCTTCCTAGCTCCCCTACATATTTCATTTTTCTTTTGGTCTTCTACACAGCTGTATGGAACTTTTGAAAAAGATTAGCCAAATCCATTTTTAGCCATACACAAACTAAAACCCATGATTTATGACCCATATCAAATCCATATGATCCCTACACGGAGAGCTTAACTATTAAGTTTTGGGAAGATGATTGGGTGGGAATTGGCAAATTTTGTGATTTGTGCTCGCAGATATACAACTTAAGTAGGAAGGATGTGTCTATTGCGGATATTTTTGAAATGACCCAAGGAAAAGTTTTGTGGTTTACGAGACCTATATTCAATTAGGAGGTTGAGGAATGTGTGGGTTTGTTATCTAAGCTGCAAGTTGTAACTTGAAAGAAGAGATTTACGATTGTGGAATGAATCACAAGAATTGAATTTTCTCTGTTAAATCTTGTTACAATGGTCTTGCAAAGAATAAAGTGGAGAAATCGGAAGTGAAATGGGTATGCAGAAAACCCATCCCACCTAGGGTGGAAGATTTTGCTTGGCTTGTAGCATTGGACAGCAATCTCACTCTGGACCATATTCAAAGTAGGGGGTTAAGAAGGTAGGAAGATGTTATTTATGTAAAGCTGCTAAGTAAAATGTGATGCATCTATGTTTTGGTTGTTGATGCTCGAAATAGGATTTTGGGGATTCTTCTTTGGTCCCTTTAAAACTGATCTCTTGGAACCAAGGAATCCAAGAGAGATCTTTGCTCAATGCCCTACGTTGAGAGGAAAGAGAGGAACAGGAGAATCTTTTTTTTATAATTGAAAATGATTTCATTAATCAAGAGAAATAAGATTTTACAAGAATCCCTTGGAGAGGCATGAGATGCAGCCTCCCCTAAACATTACAAGAGATCAGAAATAAAATTACAAATGCTGCCCAAAATAACTGGTCCCTAGTAGACCCCTGTTTAGCAAGATAATCAGCCAAGGCATTTGCCTCCCTACCCACCCACTGATAACTACATGTTATGTGCCTTGTTAAGCATTTAACCTTTTTTTATGAGATCCCTATAACTCCAAACAACTGAATCTGGATTTGACCGCCAGCCCATAATCACCTTAGAATCCCCTTCAATTAATAGGTTCTCCACTCCTAGTTGATTAGCAATCTGAATTCCTTGTATTGCAGCCAATATCTCAGCTCTTGTAAAGTCCCCTATCCCTATCAGGCCTGAGAATAAGGACATGATGTTGCCATTGTCATTCCTCAATACTCTTCCAATGCCAGATGGTCTTGGGTTACCCTGACTGCTTCCGTCAAAATTCAGTTTAAAAAATCCTTTTGGAAGAGTTACCCAAATTGTAGTGGCTCTGGTTTTTCTAACTGAAGTATGTGCAACTATGGCCCAATTCCTCCAAATGTCATCAAATGAAAAAGAGCTTAAAGAAGCCAAGGATTTCAGCCAATGGATAGCCCTGGTTAAGATACATTCCTTCACTTCTGTAAAGGACCTCTCTTTATCTTGGAAAATTCTAGTGTTTCTTTCTTCCCAAATTGTCCATAGGGTGGCTGCTCTGAAACATCTCCACATGCTCCTCTCTCTTTTTGTTGGGCAAGCAATGGTAGTTGGTGAGAATAATGATTTTACCTCTACTGGTTGTTCCACCTACATCCAAACAAAACAAACATCCAGTCCCAAAGAGCTGCAGTAAAGGAACAAGAAACCAATAAGTGGTAACAGTCCTCACTATGAGAATTGCGCAATAGATACTAGTTTGGGGATAAGCAAATGAAAGGCTTTTTCTTTTGTAAGTTCTCCAAAGTATTAATCTTACCAAGGTACACTTCCCAGCAAAAAAAAACAATTTTGGGAGGCACAGGCTTTGTCCACACTTCTTTCACTGGGAAAGGCTCAAATGAAGTACTCAAACAAAGGGATTTGAAGAAGGATGCACAAGTGAAATAACCTTTTGGGATAGGAGTCTACACCCTTTTATCAGGAGAAGAGGGATCCAAACAAACACTCTCTACAATGGATAGAAGTTCAATAACACAAGCAAGCTCCTCCTCCCTTAAGCCCCTATGAAAACCAAAGTCCCAGTTCAAGGATAAAGGTAAAACTGGAGGGGGAAGAAAAACAGAGATAACCTCCTTTTTATAAAGGGAAAGAGAATACAGAGAAGGAAATAGGTCTTTTAGAGGTTGATTACCCACCCAAGTGTCTTCCCAAAAAAGAACCAAATTTTTGGAGCAAGTGTCATACCTTACAAATTGAAGGAAATTGGGGAGCAAGTGCCTTCCACGGTGTTGTTTGGGTAGTCCGATGAGATACCCCAGCATCCCAACCAGAGATAGAACAACCATGAATACTAAGCACAACCTTGTGCCACAAACTTTCTCTTTCCAAAGGCCATCTCCATAGCCACTTCCCCAATAAAAAGCTTCATTTTTTAGGACCAAATTACTTAATCCCAGACCCCCTGCCTCTTTACTCCGACAAATTGTCTCTCAACTAACTAAGTGATCCATTTTCTTCTCCCCTGGTTCCCAAAGAAAATCTCTCATCATTTTTTCTAATTTCCTAGCCTCCCTATGGGGGATCTTAAACACAGAGAGATAATAGACCGGTAAATTGGCAAGCGTAGTCTTAATCAAAGTTACCCTCCCTCCCATAGTGATATAATTCTTTTTCCAAGCGGCCAACTTTCTTTCATATTTCTCAACAACTAGGTACCAAAATTTGCTTTCCCTAGGATTCCCACCCAAAGGTAAACCCAAATATGTCACGAGCCAAGAAGAAATAGAGCAGTCCAAGGAGTTTGCAATAGACTCAACTTCATTGTCAACCAGATTGACCCCTACTACGCAACTCTTTTCAAAATTGATCTTTAGATTGGAAACTCTCTCAAAGCGTAATATTAGATCCTTAAGATTTCTCACTCTTTTTGGCTCTCTTCCCTCACACAAAATGATAATATCGTTTGCAAACTGGAGATGAGTTACAAAGACATTGTTCCTTCCAATCTTCCAA